CTTGATTAGGCCAGTCCATCATCAACGAGAACATTCTTTTCATTGTGACAAAGAATGTATTGTCGTTGCTTGTTGGTTCACGGAAAACTCCTTACCAAAATAAGAGGTACGAAACAAGAAACGCAATAAATAAGATACCAACTATTTTAACAAAGAAATCACTTTATTTACATATACGCAACATACAATATAGAGTCAAATTGGGAGAAACAAGAACTATAACAAAAATTGCGGTGTGTAATTATAACCAACCTATAACGTGGCACATGAGTTGGGTGGGTGATTTCCCACACGGCAGGCAAACGAGTGTGTACGTAGCTGTCTGATCAAAAGTTTGTTCATAAAATATTCACTTTCTTTTTGTTAAGACAATTATCCACTTTTAGTCAATACTATTTACTTCTTGTACCATGATAATTCGCTCGTTTTCCTCATTCACGAAACTCATAAGTTGGTCCACAACAATATATAGGCCAATATTACCGGTAGGGGTATATTTGTCATTTCCCTATTTTTAGTTACTCAGCCTATAAAGCTCATGCATCTCAAGATCAAAGATTAACAAGCTCTCATCTTCTATCTAGTTTTCCTCTATCTAATTAGACACGTAAAACACTTTATTTTTCGTGAGATTTCAGATATGGGATCTTTCGTGAAAGACAAGACATCTTCGATGACCGAGTTTTTGGAGAAGTGCGGCGGTTATGCGGTGGTGGACGGTGGCTTTGCTACGGAGCTACAACGCCATGGGGCTGACATTAATGATCCACTTTGGAGTGCCAAGTGCCTCATAACTTCTCCTCACCTCGTCACAAAGGTCACACATATATACATTAATATATGCAGAAATTTAAGATGTTTTAGTCGTTAAAAATGATATTAAGTTATTGTAGGAAATTATTATAGAAAAAACTTATTGTAGGAAATTAATTTTGTTTTTTTTTGTCGGCTGTAGGAAATTAATTAATCCTCATTTTGTATCATCTATATATGTTAACCATCATAAATTTTGGATCCTATACACACACAAAAAAAAATGAATAGAGTTTAACAAAGAAAAAAAATGAATAGAGATGCGGATGTGTAAACTATCTTTCAC